GTACCCTTAAATTTTCAAGAATTTGATATTTAAGAGTATTACTTTTCAAAGTGGCACTCGCAAAGTCATTTATGGAAAAATTTTTGATTATTAAATATGAAGCACTCAATCTAACCTTAAAGGTAACAAAAACCCATGCTACGGTAACTATTTCCCGTTAGTTTGCTTGCAATGTTTCACCTTAAAGTTGCTCTCATCAGCCACTAACAAGTACTTGCCATACACATGTTATATACATATACTCGTATATTCGCATGTCCATTACGGCAATTCTTCTTCAAACATATATATGTTTGTATGTATGAATGTATGTGTGCGTGACGAACGTAACGAGTGGAGTGACGAAATGACATTGTCAATATACTACAATATTTGACGCGCGATTGCTGGAAATTTTCAAGTGAAATTTCATGGCGACGTTAACATGTAACTGCACTTTTAAGTACAGTTATAAAGGAGTCATGAAATTGATATCCTTTGTTTGACTTGTCATTGCATCTATTTGCGGTCGCCAATCGAGAGTGATGTGTGTGTGATATACTAACTGCAAACATATCTACATTTATATGAACGTATCAACATGCACATACATATATATATAAATCTACTTCAATCACAACGCACAAACAAATGTATATGTATGTGTGTGCATTCAGTCTAAAAATGTCATGCTTGTAAACAATCATGTGTATAAGTGTATAAGCTTATACATATATATATATATATATATATATATATATATGAGCCACTATTTATATATTTTTCATGTCTCTCTTTACTTGAATTTAAGCTCTATACATTATCCAATTATATATTGTACACGAGATATTGAAAAGCATTTTAAAAAACAATCAACACAAATGACGCATGAAACAACAACAAAAGCGTAAGAAATGAGAGGGAACGTTGATGACAAGCGAAGGAGACGAATGAATGACTGTGTGTTTGGGCGATAATAATGCCGGAGCGTAGGCAACCAAAGTGCTGATGCGTCAAAATTTAACCACAACGTTACTCAATATGCGGTTGTTAATAATTTATCGATGGAAAATATATGGTGTAACTTTCATATTTGAAAAGAGTATGGGAGCAGCAATTTAAAAGGGTGCTAAAGCGCTTTAATATTCTATATTTAATATTTGTAGTGGTGGAGAGCTTAGTGCTATTTAAGGTATTTTTGTTTACCGTTTCTGTCCTGAGGCTCAAGTTTTTTTTTTCCAAACGCCTTAGTGATCACTGTAAATTTCGCATTCAGCGGCCGCGGTAGCCTAGTGGTTAGCATTGAGTGCTCCCATTCGGAAGGTTCGCGTTCAAATCCCCCTGCGAGAAACATCCAGAAGTTAAGGAAAATTAATTTCAATAAAAAATTTAACTGAATTTCCTAATTGCGATCGCCCCTCGGCAGGGAATGTCAACACCTCCGAGTGTAGTCCTGACATGAAATAATGGCACCTCATAAAAAAAGGGATTTGTCTATTATCGGTTGACAACGAGATGGAAGAACCAGCTACTCGATCACAACGCAAGTGCGACACTTTATGTCCAGTGAATTGTAACCAGGCGCATGGCAAAGACAATACACTTGAAAAGCACTAAGTAGAGAGTGCCCTAAGAGAGACCGGAAGTGAACCCGCGATTGAACCCGACAGCGAGTAGCAAATTAATCTGCTCTTTAGTAAAATCGTTCCGCCAAGTTCCATCAATCCAGAAAAGATCACCTACAATGTGGTGTTGGTGGTGAAGGCACCGTGGATAGTCTGAGGAAACATAGTTTCCAAACAGATACCACAATGTCTATTTAAAACACGCGCTTGAACACTTTGAACTCTTAACATAAACAGTTTCATTTTAGTTTTTAAGAAGTCAATAAGCTCCCATTGCTCTTCAGCAACTGTATCCCTTATGATTCCCTAAATAATTCCTGCATAAAAAATGATTAAATGTAAAAGTTAAAAAAATATGAATTATGTTTAAGAAGTGCAGTACATGGTTTTGTGACAATATTGGTATTAATTATGGGAGTTGGTTAGCAACTCGAAATAGTTACTCATACGCAGAGGCGGTGTAGTCAGCTTTCAAGACGAAATGAGCGAGAAGTGCACAAGTATACCGCTTTAGATTCAGTGAAGTAAGAAAAGTCTCAACGTAATGTGTCTAAAGTCTTTAAGAGTGTTATATATATTTAACATAGATATATTATTTTTCAATGGGAATCTGCTCAATATCGTTAGTTGTTTGATTGTATTGTATAAACTTCAGCATTACCCTTATTGTCGATGCATTTCCTACACTACAATGCACTTATTGCATAACCAACAATATCCATTTCCACCACTAATACACTGCAAATTACCCCGATCACATAGCAGCAGGCCAGCAAGTGGTGCATTAATAATGCCATTTATTTTATTGATATGCATTTCTTTTTATCGCCGTGTAGTGCGAGTATATTCGAGGAATTTTTAGAGTGAAAATAAACTCGTCATTTACGCTGTATTTACCAGCTAATCGAAACTAAACAAGCGGCAATTTAACGCTTCAAATGAATGCAGAAACACCAGCCCAGACTGGCGTTGGCTGAGTACTGCTGGTGGCCTCCGAAATGAAGGTGGAGGAGTGTAATTTAAATGATTACAAGTAATAATTTTTATGCGCATACATACATACAAATATACGCAGAAATAACTATAACAACACTAAAATAAAAATGAGTAAAGAGTAAAAGCAAGTGGAATAAGATCAAAAATAGTGATAAAACAAATAATGAAATGCAAGAAATAATGTAGAGTGCATAAGTCGGAAGGTGAAAAAAAAACAATAAGAAATAAAACACAGAAACTAACTGCAAATCGGAACTAAAAAATCAGCAATGAAAATGGGAAATGCCGGATCGAATACGTAAACACAGATGTGTAGAGAAGCAGAGTTGAAGCCAATTTTCGTTTGTGCAATCAAATGGCTAATAAAAATGTTATTTGAGCTAATGGTGTCTATAAAGTGTTGGCTACATAATGAACAGTTCGACGCTTGTACTCATGCGGTGCAAATTATGGCGGGCCCACTTGGTGGCAAGTGAACGCATCACCCAAGGTGGGACTCTCCTGTTTCGGCTGACAAATTCATGTCGGTAATTGAAGGCTTCATTTAGCTGCCGGGCTGCAGCACAATTATTTTATTTGTCTACCGACAAAAAAACACACTTCTACGGCTGGTCATGCTAGGGTTGCCTACAAAGTGGCAAAGAAGCGAGCAACAGCCTGCAATGAATTGGATTTTTGTAATTTTTTAAACTTTTGTGTAATTGCGTTCGCATGCAATACAATGTTGCACGCAAATGCAATGCACATAAGCGGAAATGCAGACGAATGGTTGGCAAAAAGAAAAAAATGTAAAGCTACAAAAAAGAGTAATGAAATTAAAAAAACATCCAAAAAGAATTTTTTACTTTTGTAAAATTGTAGGCCTACCTGCATTGGCTGATGAATTTCCAAGAAATCGTTAGCAACTAAGAGTACAACTGCATTTGCATGTCACATTCTCTTTGTGCTCTCTATGCCCTCTACTTTCCACAATTGCAGGTAGGAATTTGTAGCACAATATCCAGTAATTAAACTCATTAGTCGTGCGGTCTATTTGTGGCATCCATCATTGTTTTTCATTGCATGCTAAGTTACTGTTTCTTCTTTTTCGTTTATTTTGTTTCGGCCTGAAAAGGTTGATGCGACACACATTAAGCACTAAGTTTGCAAATGGGAGAAGTTTTGAATTTCCGCTTATTAAATTAATGTAAGGAAAGAAATAATTATGAATAAAGTATTTGTGTGTAATATAATCAGACTCATACTCGCACTTATACTCATATTCATGCTGGTACTCATACGCATACTTTAATTCATACTTGTACCTGTACTCATACCCATACTCACACTCAGAGTCATATTTTTACTTGCACACACACTCGTACTCACATCACGCATATATTTTAATTAGCTTATGTTGAACTTTTACTCATTCATAAGTCTTACTCAACTATATTTTTATTTCCACCGAGCAGAGTCAATGTCAATTCTTTAAGCGATTAGTCTTAATTATGCAAGGCATATACATAAACTGTTTGGTTTACAAGTAAAAGATAAACTCAAATAGAAAAAATGATTCTTCATTATTTAGAAGTATTTTGAACTCAACTTGTATATAATCTTTGTGCTACGAAACTCGCATTTCGTTTCTGAATATTCAAAAAACAGGAAATGTGTATGATTTTCCGACAGGGAAGTTTATCTTCAGTTGTTTTAAAAATATTTTGATTAGAACATTTTTAAATTAAAAATATTTTTCAAAAAACGTTGATTATTAAAGCTATTTCTTAATTTAGTTTGTGTCTTTTCCAAGACTTTGTTGATTAAAATTTTTAATTGGCAAAAGTTTTTGTTCTGGTGCAGCATCTAGTTTCAAAAATACATAAATTAATCTTTTTAGGCAATATAAAACATAAGTATCAATGTTAGGTTTCTCTTTGAACTGAAAATGAGTTTTGAGATGTTGCTTTTTCAAACTGGTAGAAGGTGTAGACACTTTTTTCATACAAAAAATATTATTCTTCTTTCACTTTCAATTTTTTGTTTTAACTTTTTAACCGCAAAAAAAAAAAAACAAAACAAATGTTTCATTCAAACACACTTACGCCATTTCTCAATAAATTAGACCTAAATTTTCCAAATAAACTGTCACGCTACGCTAAAGTCAATAAAAAATCTTATTTAAATTTAAATATATTCAATGAGAGAACACACATATACGTACATACATATATTGCAAAAAAACACTTAAGAGTATTTATATGAGGGTGTTAGCATTCTCTACCATATTGATGCATTAAGCGTCCGCTGGCACTACTCTCATCTGCTGCTGCTGCTGCTGCTGCTGCTCTATAAGGCGGAGTGAGTGATGTGAACTCAAAGAGACACAGTTGCGCGGCAGCGACAGCCTAAGTAAGATGATTTGTTGTATGTTAACAATAAGGAGCACACCGGCGGCGGCGGCAAGTTCGCGTTAAATATATAATATATGCTTATTGTTATATTTATGTGTGTACATGAATTTAGATACATACATATACGCAGCAGAATGTGCGCTCATATAGAGCGAATTGTGAATTGTGTGTTGAAAGAAAAATGACGAAAATGAACTATAAATCCGTATTGCGTTAAAATTCTGGGAAACTGTGTGGGACCGCAGCGAACTGTACCCCAGGCAGTTGCAAGCGAATGAGCTGATGGGAATGTGTTTGGGAAATTTGCATTTATCTGTTGGCGTGCAAGTTTCGAATTGAAAATATAAGTGAAACCTGTGGAAATTTAGTTCAAATATCGTGAAAAATGCCGGCCAAAAAACAAGTAAAGTTTTGATTAGAAAAAATTAAGTTGGCTTACCTTTTTTTAGAGTTTTATATCAACTTTATGTTAGCTGCAAATGCAAATGCAAATAATATTACGTTTTTAGTAGTAAAATATCATAAACTGCTTTTAATACAACCGTTAATAAGCAACAATAATAAAAATTTCGTCTATAAATTTTACAAAATACCGACATTGCTCGCTACAAAAATAAAATACACAATAATTTATGCCAAAAATTGTATAGTGAAAATTTCACATTACCTCGATGCGCTCCCAATTAATAAATTTTCTGTACGCCATACAAAATCGATAAAATATCATAAATATTTTCATTTGCCAAGTATTCAAAAATCCAATAACGAAATTTATGCATAACCGTTAATAGCTATTACGTATACGCAACGGCGGTCCAATACAAAACAGAGCGGCACAAAAATCAAATATGCACACATTCAAAGAAATAATGAGTAACGGCATGTTTTCGTGAGAGAAAATATACACTCCTACATATGTGCATGCATATCAATTAGCAGCAAAAAAAAAAAAAGAAATATATATATATATACATACATACATGCATATATAAAAAGTTTATTGAGTGCTAAATATAGTTTGAATGAAAAAAAAAAACAATAAAAAAAGAGAAATGCTTGATGTCAGCTAAGGGATCGCCTGCAACTATGTTGAAAGCTTCTATGCGCCTGGCGCTCTCATCTGCTTAATGATAAATAGCGGTGCATACAATGTATTCTATTTGACTTCGAGAATTTCGTTCATTTATATATTCATTTATTTATTAGTTTATTTATTTATTTATTTATTCTTTATTTATTTTTGTTTCGTTGAGCTACGTTCCTGGGCCAAATATAGGGTTATCCATTTCGTGGTTTTGAAAATAGGGGACAGTATTTTGAAATGCATCAATCACAACTCTCAAACCATTCATGTTTTTTTTTAGTTGAATGTTAGGACTTTAAGAAATTGGATCGCTTAACCAGCGCACAACGCGTTAAAAGTTTTGAAATCTACTGAAACATAGTAATTCTAACGTGGTAACATAAACCGATCGAAGTTTGTGGAAATCAGCAAGGCGGCCATTTGAATGATTTAGTGTTGCACATATAATGTTAAGGCTTAAAGTTCATAAAAGAAAGATATTTCATGAAAAGTCAAAAAAAAAAAAAAAACATATTTGAAACCGCAAAATATATATCCCTGTGCTTTATTTGAAGTGATTTTTTTGCCTCTCTTAACGGTGTAGAGCGGCGCATGTTATTATTTTCCTTGATGAGCAGATTTCAACACTCATTTCTTCGCTCTGTATTTTATGTTGTTTTTTTTTTGCTTAGCTTTTACCCTTGTCCATTTTGCTTTCCTCGCAAGCGTGTTGCTATTTTTTTTATAGATACAAAACGCGTGCCAAACAAATTTTTGTGTTTACAAGACTTTAAGCGCATTCATCGATGACACCTGTATTTGACGGCCAATTGTACATCTGCTAGCTTTTGGCACTAAAAAGCAATTAACACAAATGGATGATGCTTTCTGTGAATGAGTTTGCGAAAAAACTTATTGATCAATGCTGATTAATTGATCGGAAATCCACAGTAAAATTTGGCTTTTGTTGAGGAAAATAAAAAAATCAATAATAAGTTAATTAAACTAAAATTAAAAATATAAAAATTTTAACTATTTATAGAAAAATAAAAAGAAGCATCAGCAACATCAACAACAGCTGCAGCAGCAACAACAACAACAATCTACCACAAACAGTTCTCAATCAAGCATGGAAAGTAACAACATCAACGAGCCAGGTGGTGATTCATCACCTAAGCAGCTTCCCTATAGAATTGAAAAGTCTTCAGTATTGGGACGCTACTTGGTGGCAAATCGCGACTTGAAAGCCGGTGAACTGCTTACAATAGAAGAACCACTGGCCATTGGTCCATGTGTATCAGCAGATGCTGTCTGTTTGGGTTGTTATATGCCAGTGGAGTTGAAGGAAACACAATTTTGGTAAGTTTCATTAGAGGAAGAGATCAGTGTGTGAGTTGGCAATGAGAGTAAACGCATGCGAGGCACAAATTTTGGTTGTAGTTTTGAATCTTTGCTATTTTGGCTCAAATCAATATTTGCGCATCGCATGAGTCTAACTCAATTTTTACATTTGTTGTAAAATCTTTCTGAATAAGTCCTACGTCCTAGTTTTTTTATATATTCAAGTGCATCAAAATATATAAAATTTGGGTTAACTTCCTATAAAAGTTTGGTATAGTCTATGTTTCTGTGTACTAATTTTTATGTTACGTTACGTTTTAATTTTTTAACAATCAGAAAATTATCAATAATTGGCCTCCCATTTAGTGAAATATAAAGAGTATATCGGTATGTGTATATGTATACTTAATCGCTTCCATAAGCAAACAAAAAATGATGTACATATATACGAATGAATATAAAAAAAAAAATTTAAAGCGATTGTATTTGCTTATTTATTAGGGTAGCTTTTCATTTTGTCCTCTCATATTAAACACAATTTTATATAAAACGCCACTAAATAAAAAATTAGCGGAAGAGAAAAATGTTGTTATTTAATTTTTTTTAAATTGAGATTTTGGACTACCCTAATACGCATATAAAAATAATTTTCAAACTGTATAAAAAGCACATAAATTAAAAAGATTAAGCAATAGAGGACATATGTGAAGGTCAGCAGAAGAAAAACAAAATATTTATTTGTTTTGAAAATTTCCGAAAAACACACCCACTAAATTTTTTATAATCTATTATTCACACCCTTTCTCATGCAATCATATCCAAACATATATGTAAACACATAAAGCAGCAGCCAATTGGTTGCAAAAGCATTGGGCCATTAAATTTTGAAATTTTGTTTTGAAAATCTATTTTTGTATTAATAAATTTATTTTTGGAAAATTTTAACATACGTTATGATTCTTTGTTATTGTTATGATTGGTGCAGTCTGTGTTTCGGATCACGTACAAGACCTAAATGAAATGCGGAACTATTAATAAAATCATGTTTTCCCACTTATACAAATAGATGTATTGAAAGTTTTTGAATGTAAATATATTTATGGTTTTTACATATATGTTTTAATGATGAACACTCATGTTTCGAAAGAAACTGTACCAGAGGTAAGACTTTAAAAAGGCGGCTGCTACAAAAAATACCTCAGTTACACAGTGGCAGTGATGAAAAGCGGAACACAAATTAGGAATTCGAAAGAAAATTAAAGTTTTAAAGTGAAATATAATTTTTGATAAAAATTGTAAATTGATTTGTTGAACGTAGCATTTATTTTCCTTCAAAAATCACACAGTTGTGAAGCCTGCAAATGGCCAATGTGTGGCCCACAGTGTGGTGGTCTCCATCAGCCCACCGGCCACACAGTGCAGGAATGTGAGCTTTTGCGTGAACACAAACTTGGGGCTGCACTTACCGCCGCTTGTGGGAAAGCCGATTTGGTGAAGAACTACTATGAGCTCATACTGATTGTGCGCATTTTGCTCCTGAAGCACCATGCTCCAGACAAGTATGCCTACATACTGCAAATGGAATCTCACACTGAGCTACGCAAGGCCAACACGGAGCTGTGGCAACACTATGAGCAGAATGTAGTGCAGCGGCTGCAACGCGATTGGGGATTAGACACAGTTAGTGCCGAGGACATACATGCCATTTGTGGTATTGTGGATGTGAATTGCTTCGAAATTGGACAGAATTTGGCAAAAGCGCGTTGTCTGTATAAGAGCGCCTTTTTGTTGGCGCATGACTGTTGCCCCAATACGGCACACACCGATGATCCACAAAGCTATGCCATAATTTTACGTACTTCACGGTCGATAAGCAAGGATGAGGGTATCACTTTGAGTTACGCCTACACGTTGCAGGTGAGTCTGCGGTGTGTGAGGAAACTTACAAAAGGAAAAAGTTTAACATAAAAATAAAATATATAAAAATATATAATAATTTCCTCGCAGGGCACCCTAAAACGCCGTGATTTCATGCATGCGGGAAAATTATTTTGGTGTTGCTGCGATCGTTGTTCAGATCCGAAGGAGTTGGGTACGGACTGCAGTGCTTTGGTCTGTCCGAAATGCAAAACTGGCTCAGTACGCTCCACGGCACCATTGAACCAGGAAGCTGAATGGAGGTAAGCAATTTTTGGAACGCAAGGGAGAGTACTATGTTTTATTTAAATAAGGTAACATCGATCTCCCTGAACATGATTTCTTACAGCTGGCGTTTCTTACAAAAGCCTATTAAAATTAGAAATATATGTAGAGTCTAAATTTTTTTTTTTAATTTTCGGAAGATGTGATCGCTGTGACTACACTTTGCAGTATAAGGAAATTTTGAAATTATTGGATGCTATAAATTATAATTTAGAAACAATAGACGCACATAATATACCAGGACTAGAAGGATTCCTTAAAAAGTAAATATTTAAAAGGCAGACATTTGCTGTTTGCTGTTGAGAACTCAATGTAAAACGATCAAGTCTTTGACATTTGTTTGTTCTGATCAACGTTGCTTCTGCAGATACGAACGTGTTCTGGGACCCAATCACTATCTGATACTCTCGGCCAAGTACTCACTCTGCCAAATCTATGGACGCATTGAAGGCTACTTACTGCATACAATGTCAATAGAAAATGTTGAGAAAAAGGAGCAATATTGTCGGGACTTCTTAAGAATCATCAATGTGCTGGAACCAGGCCTCACCAGGTTAAGAGGTAGGCCATAAGCCAACGAAATGAGAGTCTCTAAAAGTAAGCAGAAAATACATTTTTTTTCCGTTATCCCTACAGGCCTAATTTTATATGAGCTGCATGGCGCGATAATGATGCGATCGCAGCGTTTAATGATGACAGGTGGCATAAGTGAATCGAACTTTAAACGTAACATCAAAGAGGTGATCAGGTGCTTGCAGGAGAGCAAAGATATTCTGTTGCTGGAGCCAGAGGGCACAAGTGAACATGAGATGGGTGTGGCGGCAGCGGGCGCATTGGTAGAAATGGGCGTGAAATGAGAAAGGAATAGAACTCATTAGAGCGACATACATTTACGTGTGGCTTATTAAAGTCCCTTTTTAAAATAGAGAGACTAGAGCGAAGTGAGTGGTTACATGTGAGAGTTAAGGCAGTAAGGATTTCAAAAAAAAAAAAAATGTTTTTTAGAAGTACTTGGTTTCGGCTGGAATATCGTATCATCAGAAATCATAGCATCAATATGCTCCCGTGAGCACGCACACATACATTTAGTAAAAATCATTACCACACAGTTTCATATATTCAATTATTGAGCTCATGTCAACAACAAAATCACAATGGTTTGCATGCCAATACATAAAGACACTCACACACATACATGCTTGCGTCACATTTATTAGGCGATCTTCACACATGATCGTATACATGCATACAACTGTATTTTACGAAATCTCATTAAAAATAAAGTCACTCTTATTATTTTATTTTTGGTTTCTATTATACATTATTGCATCATTTCTAATTTGGTAAGTAAAGCTTACTGAGCAAAATAAGCAAATGACTTTTGTCCCATTCCTCTCATCTGGTTTGATCTACCTCACCCATTTTTTATATACATATACATAAATACGCTGCATGTTGTGCATTGCATGAGTCATTTATTTCTCATTCGAAAATTTTGAATATTCCTTAGTCATTAATTATAATTAAATGACGAAACCAATCATCGAAAACATGCATTATTCATGAAAAAACATTCATATTTATATGGTCTTTAATTCATCATTGAAACAATTCATTCATTCCATATTCATTTGGGATTATTATTTTGAATATTTATTCCTGCATGTTTTATCGTTTTACTTTTACTTTAGTTTTGGTAATTTTAGTTACGGGCAAATCAGTGAACACTTATAATTTATATTTTTAGTTTTTCATGTATAATTAGTTAGTCACTATTCATTGCATGTCTGCATAATTTATACATATATATACATAAAATATTTTTTTATTTCTCATTAACGCATCTCCTGCCAAATTTCATTATCTATTCTTATTTTTCATTACCAAAATTTTTTCATATTCTTGGCCATCACTCCACACGTACCATTTAGCACTCCAAATTCCTTTTCAACATTACGAATTCATCAATTCATAACTTGGGTATCAATCTTAATTTGCAATACGTTCATTATATTTCAGTGCATGTCAGTCACCTCTCAAAATTGGCAGTGATATATGAATCAAATTTTGATCGTAACCATTCATAAAAAAAAAATCATCTTTTATTATTTCATTTTATTAGCTCAACCAAATTATTATAATTTAAATTAAATCAGATATGAAATATCTTTCCTTTTTCCATAATTTCCATCAATCATTATACATTATCTTGCATGTTCGGCGATCTTCTGTAGGATGATCAGCTGCTATTATATAGTTCTATGTGGCACATCATTCACCATACAGCATGAGCCATACATATATATCACCAATCAATATTCATACATTATTTTCAAACATCTTTCTTTAAGCATGAATCCCATTAATACTCATAGTTCTTCAAATTTCATTCCTTATGCTGCATGTTTCATCTATTTCACCTCATTATTTTTCTTAATTTCATATCACATTTTTTAAGAATCCCATTTAAATATTGCTCAATGATATATTTTGATTTTATTATCCGTCATATTTTTATTTTCGTTTTTGAACTTCTCTCATTATCTGTCATGTTCCATCTCCTTATTATTTTGCATGCTTTATCTATCATTCTTTCATGCAATCAACTCTCATGTGGTCAGCGGCATACATTTTATTTACCTTTTTTTTATCTATCATTCATCGTACATCATCTTTTAACTGTCATATATCGACTCTCATTATTGATCTGTCATGAATCTCCATTGACAAATGTTATAATTGAATATCACATACTCTCATTTGACATCTTGCAAACACTCCATCATCACTCAAGACCCATCAGCCAACTGTTTGATGAAACCAGAGCTTCTGAGACAAGACACCGATACACTTCAAGCATTTTGGCACTCTTTACACACAAGAAGGATTCAAGGGAGAAAGCGGAATAAATATTGTTTCACTAATGTACATTTGTTTATTTATATTTTCTGGTAATTATTTTAAATGGAAAAGAATCAAACAAACAAAAGCTAATTTCGAACCAGTTTTGATGATATTAAACAAGAAATCTTTTCATAAAATAAAGGACAGAAAACCAATCAGCAAGAAATATTTAAATCAGCACTAGAAAGTTGTTCTGTATTAAATTTTTGTACTTCGTCGCAAAAAAAATAAGAAGAATTTATAACTAGTAAGTGTGTGTTTGAAGTTTATGGGTGGCGCCATCAGGAATTGCAATTGCTGCGGCAATACAAGCAGAAGGCGCACTCTATACACATTTATTGTCATAATTACAATAAACAAATCTAAAACAGTAAGACGAAGCGTGACAATTAATCAAAATCTTAATATATGCATTAGCTGCGCATTTAGAAATAAAAACTGGAGAGAGATAGAATAAAGCCTGTATTTGAAACATTCAGTGCATAATCAGTGATAGATCAAAATCTAATATTCATCTAAAAGAAATTTGAAGACTTTTCAGAATATCAGTACATAAGTTATGTTAAATGGAAAACATACATTACGCTACTTTTAGAAGTATTTTTGTTAGAAATTTGGCCCATCTAGTGACTGAGGAATAAATATATGGAAAATTCCTTGCCCTGGGCTCATATGAACAGTATCCGTAGTCAGAATTGGGAAAGACCTCTCCGGGCCCTTCAGTACTAAACGAGATTTCAGACTCTTTGACGTGTGATTTCTTCAATCTGATGCTAGATAGAATAATAGCAGCTGCAGAACTGAATAAAGAAGGAAATATCTCCTGTCATCAAACAAACAGTCATCGTATTTGCGACTTGGCTCCCACGTTACTTTTGGCAGTCATAACTTTGAAGTCGTAAATAATTTCCTGTTGACTTTGGACTGAGTAGGCAATTGAAAAGTAAAGTCCTCTCTTGGCGACCGAAAACCAATCACTACAAGTCGCTCATTATACCCGTTATACTATATGGCGTAGAAACGTGGACTATGTCAATAGCTGATGAGTCGGCTTTGAGAGTCTTCGAGGGAAAAGTTTTACGAACGATTTATGGTCCTTTGCGCATTGGCAGCGGCGAATACCGCAGACGATGAAACGATGAGCTGTACGAGCTATATGATGATATTGACCGCTGTACGCTGGCTAGGTCATGTCGTCATGGATGAAACCGCTGCAGCTTTGAAAGTGTTCGATGCAGTACCCGCTGGACGAAACAGAGGAAGAGGAAGATCTCCACTCCGTTGGAAACACCAGGTAGAGAAGGACCTGGCTGTACTTGGTATTTCCAATTGGCGCCAAACAGCAAAAAGAAGAAGCGAATGGCGCAATGTTGTTAAATCGGCTATAAACGCGTATGCGGTGTCTACGCCAGTAAAGTAAGTAAGTAAGTGAGTAAGGGCTGATATGAAGTGTCATCATAGGGTTGATGACAGCGAAAGATACGCCCAGAAATAATATTTACGACTGTAACGCCTTTGAATAAAAGAATGAGTGTAAAGTTAAAATAAAAATGTAATACATTCTTTATGGAAAATACGTCACTACGAGTATGTGCATGCCGTGTGTATCAATGACGAAGTGGCATGTCGTGTGAATGCCATTTACAGTTACAATTCGTATGTTTCCGTTTCCTATCCTGCAGCCGCGGGACCTATTATTACTGTGGCTCATTCTGCTGCCAACAACAGGCAACCGAAATCACACAGCACCGTCAGCTGACAAGATGTGTCAGAGCATATTTTTACCATCCTTCTTTATTGCTACGTACACATTGTTGTTGTTTTCATTTTTTTTACTTGATTACTTCCATTTCTCGGTCAGTGCAAGAATTGCCATTGCATTGGCGTATAACAGGCCTACGAGTATACGTTGGATTCATGTATACTAGGTCAACAAAAAATGATATCCAGTTGATTTTTCAAGTCTGTTGAATTGTTTTTGGGTTTTTTAGTTTTATGGAACTCTCTCAGACCATATGTGTTTGGGAAAACCATCACGTTTTCTCATCAGATTTCAGCCGTGATTTAGGAATTGTCTATTCTAAAGCAAATATCGAGACAGTGTAAATTCATCAAAAATTAGAGGAAATAATTCCTAATGGCACATGGAAATGGAATTGAATGTGTCCAAACTGGTTAAGGCGTGAGCCCAACTTTTCTTTATTTGACTGGCTACGAAAAGTATAGATCAAATCTATGCTGCCTCCGAAATGCTGGATGTCAACCTCAAGATATCTGAAAAGTAAACACTACAAAATGAAAAGCGAAGAAAAAATACCTGACTGGTCGTACTATTTCGGCCATGCCTTTTTAATTGATACAAGATGTTTACTCTCGAATCAATCCAGAATAGTCAGCATGTCTTTCATCTCTAAATAATCAAATTCATATTTGATATGATGGAAGCTAAGAGAAGGAGACCTTTGAAGAATAAAGTGAAAAAAAAAAAATTGCAGTCACGTTTTTCGTGGGACTGTCCTTGTGAGTGTATACACACATGCATTATAACTGAGTGCGTGCGAATTCGTCGAGATTGCAACACGTTAATAAGTTACTTTAGTCGCAGTTAAAAAATGAAAACTTCAGGCGCCTATGACTTTCATACGTTCATAAATACATATGTGTATGTACGAGTGTATGAATATTTAAAACATGCGGTAACGGCTGTCGTGCGCATTCTCTACCATCGTTACCATTTCACAACGCTAACTAATTGTTGTTGTTACTGTTATTTGGCAACACTGCAGGCCGTCCATGTCCCCGACATGCCACTCACTCAAACGATATACCAAAGAATTCGTGGAATTTTTGTGGAGTGAAATGAACTTACCGCAACATTTACTGCATGCAATGGCATGTTTCAGTTGCCAGCTCATGCGCCTACCTGTATGCTACAATTTATTTGCACTTCAACAGATTATAAGCGTAAATTTGCCAGAATGTAAGTATGAATGCAAGTGTGCTTTTGTCGGTGCACTTCGTGAGCGCGTGCTTTCTGTGCATATGGCGTGAGTTTGTTTTGTGGCACAAATTAGTTTGCTGTATGTGTTAGTTAATTGTCGCACATCATATTTTAAATGAGCTACCAATTGCATAGTTTTTAATCTATTTTTAAATTTTTTTTACCGCGATCAGTGGCATGATATGTAATTGTTGTTTTGTTCTTGCTGTTATTGTTGTTGTAGCAATAAGAAATTGAAATTAATGCATTGTTTAATGAATTTATACATAAAGCAAGCGCGATGATTTATTTTCCACCACAAAAACATATCCTGTAGGCATTTAAGCGCAGCCGCCACCGCCGCCGCTGTTGATATATCCTAAACTATAAACCGTAATTGTATAACTCATGTTGTGGAAAATTACATTAACGCCGCACAAACATATCAGATTTCATGGGAATTGCAAATGAAAATCGCCCTCCAGGTAATTGGCGCTGCGGCGGAATGGCGCGTTTTGATGGATATTCTCTGAATTTGAAGTGGACTGAACTTCTGTTTAATTGCAATGCAAATGTCTGTGCAGAAACGTGTACACATGTGCGTGTGCATGTGTGTGTATGTTAATGCTTTGCGTTATGTATAACCATAAATTAAGTCATAATGAATTGTTTGTCATAGAGAAATTGACGTAATTTAATTTTAATAAACTCAAAGGACTGAAATTTTGATTTATACGCATTTGGGCCTTTTAAATTCGCATATTTAAAGATCGATTTAAAGAAAATTGAGAAACTTTTGCATACAAAGCTTAATTTAATTTTTGAAACTTTAATTTGTGTGCAGCAGAAAATTGAATTTTCGGCATTTACTAAATACTTAGGACAATTATTTAAGTTTTAAACAAGCAAAAATGCACTTAAGCGGCTTTCCTAATTAATATATTAATTGAAGATGGCGTATCAAACGTCAAAGTGCATGGTTTTACAGTGCGGTAGGTGTGGCGTTCATAATATTTTTCGTTTTAAATCACTTTATTTTTAATATGGATGAGTTTGAAACTGTTTTTGCTTCATTTATGTTAGCGCTTTAGTGATCTATTATGGGAACGTTTTGAGGTTTTGCAATAACATTGGTGTTGCCTTAGAAAGCAGAACCTCTTGTAACTTGTTTTGGATAAACTCGGAATGAATTGTTAAAGTTTGTAGAAGGTTATAAAACAAACTTTTGAAGTGTCATATCTAAGGGTTTTCCGTGCCACATCAAAGCGAAGATACTATTCACAAACATGGGAAAAGTCGCAGATAATTACGATAGCGAAACCAGGTAAAGACGCGGTGTTGGGTCATGATACGTCATGTAGCCTTGCATTTCATGGCAAACATGCCCTGCGGTGAAGCTCAACAATGTTCCTCTTCCACTTCTAACGCATTCCCTCAGATAGGCGATCAACTCCAACACTCGCCATTTCCAAACTCTAGAGGAAATCATATTTCGAAACTAAGTTTGGGCGAATCACTTCGATATGAGAATAGGACCAGAACTTGTTCAAAGTCATTTCGAATCTCTGTTCCTAAGCAAGTTGAAAAATTCTATTGAAAAATAATTGACCTGCGCGCTTTTCTCGTTTATTAATTACGGTTTTTTTGTATTTGTTCTACAATTTAAATTTTGACAGAATTTACAGTGATTCCCACTTAGATCTGGTGACATAACGCGAAGTGGTGTCAAAAGTCAACCAGCCCGAATGAGATTTTTTGTAAAAATAACTCCGGTTAAAATCATATTTTCAATGTTAAATCGTCATATTTGATATATTTGATATATATTCTTTTAAGATTTTAAACCTTTAAGAAAAAAATGTATCTGTTCGAAAAATTTTAAGGTTAGGTCGCCTTATTGTTCTTATACTGCGGAGAATAGACTTTTATACAGTATTAACAGGTAAGTAACTGAAGACCATTATTGCATAAAGCATACATAAAAATTAAAAAATGTTGTAATATTGTACAAAAAAAAATAAATTCTGTTTTTGCCGATCGTGGTAAAAAATACACGATATTTGGCCAAGAGTTTTAAGATCACAAATTAGTTTCTAAATATATCTACATATTAAATTATTAATTATTTCGTTTAATTGCTGCTGCTTAAATGAGTTGTTATTATTTAAAACAAGT